ATGCTGTTCTATTACATCACTGAAGACATTAACACAAAATCTATCATAAAAAACACCTGGCAATTAGAAGATGTAATGTTGACAGGTTTGGCACAGAGCCAGAAATTACAACCATATGTGATACCGAATCAAAACAATATGTCTGAGGTATAGCTCCTTATCAGGTGTTGAACTAAGGCAGGGGTCTCCAAACTTTTTGAAAAGCGGGCTACATTAGATAATTCAGCACTTTCAATGGGCCGAATAAACGAGAAATTGATAACTCTAGGTATATGAGTTTTATTGAAAGCACAGAATTTCATAAACTAAATAAAAAGTATGTGAGAATAAATTATCATATATTAATGACGACAGTAGCAGCAAATGCTCATATTTTAATCACAAATTATAATAAAACAATTAATGTGAATGATGGAACTCTTTTGCATTCACAAGTAGCGACTTTAAATGTTCATCAGATAAATTTGCCCCGTATTTCGACTTGATGTACTTCATCTGGGAAAAAGTTTGTTCACACAGATATGTCGTCCCAAAAATGGTGATAAATTTACAAGCCGGCTGTCATAGAATGGACTGAAGTTCCGGTAGCCTTATCAACATTCCTCGCTACCAATTCTCGGAACAGTTAGAGCAAAACTGGGCATAAGTTGCCTTTAATACAAAAATGGTAATAAGTACGACACCGGCAGTGATGATCTGTTACAATTACACTACACCACTGCAAGAAGTCTTGTGGACAAGACGGCTAGTAACGAACTGCTCGCGCTACCTACATTGTCACGAAGTGACACTACCGATCGAGGCCGAACAAGTACGAAGAAATACCACGTAGTATACGGTCCAGAATTAGTAAAATTGTGAATATTAATATTAACATAATATGGAATATCAATATTTTTAAACAATCTTAAAGAATGAATTTGAAATCTATGAACAAGTATTTTTTTTACCAGTACTCATTGGAAAATTAGTTCAATTGGCGCATTTCTGCACAATTCTTTCGCGCGCTGGATGTGACCCGCGGGCTATAAGTTTAGAGATCCTTGAACTAAGGGATGGATGACTGAGTTGATGGGAACTGTCTGAGACAGAAGACTAGAAGTGTCGAGAAAAATATGGATTCTTATGCTGGATGGGTTAAAAACTGGATGTCATATCTGCAACTAAAAAAATGAATATTACCTCACAATCACACCTGGATGGATAAGCGCAACTACACATTCTTGTGAATATACTTTTCTTGCATCATTTAAAACAACTGTATTCCAAATAGCTCTTGGCAGAGGACCATGTTCTCACACAAACTTTTTCATTAAAGCCCAGTGTAAGTAAAAGCACTTGTGAGTGGATCTGTCCAGAAGTTAAACTGACAGGTGTACAAAGTGCTGCATATCTTGTCAACTTGACGAGAAAAAGTTTGGAATGTTGGAAGCAAACATAAAAAGTATCAGCAGTGAACAAAATCAGAATTATGAAGACAAGTACTGAATTGGGCAACAGGAATGCTTAAAAGAGACTGGTGAAACTGAATGCATGCTAGTGACTTCAAGAACAAACCAATTTAACGTCACATAACATACTGTGTCATGATTATAACCGATACACCCATTACTTTTAGGAAAACCATGGATACCTTCAAACTGTACAACAGTTTTCCATTTACCAGGAGGCAGAGGAGTGACATGTTCCAGATATGGTATGTGAACAGCACACTGAATGTGCATACTTGTAATCGGGAGGAAGACAATTATAGTCCTCACAATGCTGTAAACAGGCCAATTTTATTGAATATGCACATGAAAAGGTGGTTTACAACTTCTACACATTTTGATCATCATCATCACTGGCACGACAGCCCTTTGAGAGCCCTGGCCTTCCTCAGGATTGCTCGCCATTCTTCTCCATTCGATGCTACATTCCTCCAGTTCTTTACACCCAAAATTCTTATGTCCTGCCACACACATTCTTCCCATCTTAATCTTGGTCTTCCCACTCTCCTATTTCCTTCTGGTTTAGTATTAAGCATTTTCTTAATTGTTCTATTCTCGCTGGCATGTATTATATGTCCAGGCCATTCAAGCCTTTTCACCTTTATAAATCCAATAATGTCTGGTTCATTAAATAGTTCGTATAGCTCATGGTTATTCCTCTTCCTCCATATTCCATTTTCTTCCACTGGTCCAAAGATATATCTCAAGATCCTCCTTTCAAATATACTTAACAGTCTTTCATCCAATCTTGACAGTGGTCAGGTCTCAGAGGCATAAGATAGCACTGATCTTATAAGTACTTTATACATCATAGTTTTGGTTTTCCTGGGTATTAATTGGGATTTCAGGTGTTTCCTAAGGCCATGGAGACATTTATTTGCCACAAGTACACGCTTTTTTATTTCATCACTGATATCATTTTTACGGTTAACTTCTGACCCAAGGTAAGTGAAACTACATACAACCTCAAATTTATATGAGCCAATTTCAATATACATATAAAACGAGACAACGCTGAACAAAACAGCAAGAATAAAACTGACAGGGAATCCTCCTGTATGTAGGTCCATTAGCACAGTCTTTCTTGGTTACCGGCATGTACTTTGTTTTATTTTGGTTAATTTGTAGATTCATCTTTTTTGCTGCTCTTTCCAAATTAAGAAAAGCTTCTTTCATAGATTTTTTGTGTTCTACCAGTTATATCAATATCATCTGCAAATGCCAAAATTTGAACTGACTTGTAGAATATAGTTCCCCTTATGTTGATGCCTGCATCTCTAACTACCTTCTCTAATGCTATATTGAACAAAAGGCAGGCTAGGGAATCTCCTTGTCAAACTCCATTTCTAGTTATTATAGGGCTGGACAACATATTCTAAATTTTAATTTGGCATTGGGTCTTTCTCATAGCGACTCTGACTAAGGTGATTAACTTCCATGGAATGTGCATCTCTTCCACTGCCAGAAAAAGACGATCTCTATTTATGGAGTCATAGGCTGATCGGAAGTAAACGAAAAGATGATTTATTTCAATTTGGAATTCATTACACTTTTCAATGGCCTGTCGAATAGTGAAAATCTGATCGTTAGTTGATCCTCCTTGACGAAACCCACATTGGTAATCCCCAATTATGCCTTCCACAAAGGGAGAGAGTCTGTTAAATAGAATGTTGGAAAATATTTCATATCCTATGCACAACAGACTAATTCCTCTATAATTAGAGCATACCATGACATCGCCTTTCTTATGGATAGGGCATACAATGCTTAGGTTCCATTCCTCTGGGATTATTTCAGTTATCCATGTCTTAACTATTAGCTGATGTAAGTGCTTGGCATATTCTGGGCCTGCAAATTTCACTAATTCTGCCGTGATGAGATCCATTCCTGGAGCTTTATTATTTTTCAATTTTTTTTTGATAGCTTGTTCTATTTCTTTTATGGTTGGCACTGGCCCTTCAGCCTCAAAATTTCCTTGATTCCGGTCTATGGTCATACCTTCCACTTGTTCAGAGGCATTAATATTTAATAATTCCTCAAAATATTGCGCCCATCTTTCCAGTATTGCTTCATCGCTACTCACTATCGTGCCTTCTTTATCTCTACATAAGGTTGTTCTAGGTTGAAAGTCCTCTCGACTCGTCTAGTTTTTGATAAAACGCTCTAATTTCGTTTGAACTTCTTAAATGCTCCAGTTCAATCAGTTCTTGTTTATCATATTCCCTTTTCTTCTTTTTATGCAATCTTTTTTCTTTTTTTCTCGCTTCATGGTATTCTTCCACGGCCCCTCGAGTATGGTTCCTTTGCTGCGTTCTCTTATATACCTGGGTTTTTTTGTCACTTGCTCACACTCTCCATCGAATCAATTCTTATACTTTATCCTTTCCATTCTTCCTAGGACTGCACCAGCAGCATTTATAACATCTCTGAGGCCCCTCCAAACTTCACTGACATCCTCACTATCAGAGAGACCTGCCAGGCATTCACCAATTAATCCAGTATACATGGTTGCAACTCCTTGTTCCACCAATTTTCCACAATTCAATTTCTTAGCCTGGGATCCATGTATCTTCCTTGCATTAGATATTCAACTTCTAATCTTTGATATTATTAAGTAATGATCAGAGTCAATGTTGGCTCCCCTGTAGCTCCTGACATCCATCAAATCTGAACAATGCCTTACATCTATTAGGAGGTGATAAATTTGATTAAACACATTTCCATCAGGGGATTTCCACGTTCGTTTACGTATATATTTTGATCACCAGTAGCTACTAAATACAAGTGCAGCATGGACTGTTACTGTAAAAATAAAATACCAAAACATTTACAAAGCTGAAGAGGGTGAAGAACTTTTAGCAATTAAATGGTGGTATGTACAATGTATATGCACCTCATCATGGTTAACCCATGAGGAAACAATTACAAAACTAGAAAAAGTGTTCATTACTCATGCCTTGCATATGCAGAAAACAATTACAAAACCAGAAAAAAATTATTCTCTTTACTCATGCCTTGCAATTTTGAATTCCATATGCAGAAAAGGTGGCAGAGGGGCTACAAAAATCAAACATGAAAGGCAAATAGAAACTGTGGGAAAACCTGTAGGCAATGGTTATTTTGCTCAGAAATAACAGACTTCACACCTGAAAAATCATCAACATTCATGACAATGTGTATGACAAAATATATTCACTACAGTAGAATGCCAAAACTCCTAGGCTGCCTAACTCAACATTTCAGGATTAAGACACAAATGTGACCATCTCTGATATTTAAGAATTTAAGACCAGGAATGTACTGCTGGGACAAATTCTTAGGTTGAACACTGTAACCTACTTTCCCAGCATCAGTTTCTTACCAGAATTTGATTTCTATGCACCAGTGTGAATGTACATAATTGTGAAGATCTCATTTTATATATATATATAAGAAAAACTTTCCTCCCACTGTCACTTATCTAGCTCTAGAATGGCAAAGTCTTCCAGTTTTCTAGCTGTACCACCTTACCTCACATCCATTTCCAGGTGTTGGTCCATCCCAACCTGGTGGTGGCCCACCATACTTTCTCTGTCCTGTTGTAACGTCCAATGTATAACCAGTCCTCTCCAAAATAGACTGAAATAAAGCACAATGGCATACTTTCAGTACAAGTCAATTTGCTATAAGGAGTCGTTCATATTAACTGAATAAATAAGAACAAGAAACAAGTTCAGGGTTTCAAGGCAAGCTGTACCTTTCATGTCTCATAGCAAGACAAGATACCTTATATGGACAGGTCTAACATTTCAGAGAACCTGCACGAAACCTAAGGGAAGACTTAACTGAAGAGCAGCCTAGCACAAAACTGTAATAAAGGCACTTAAGGTCCTAGAAAATTCAGGTCTCATCAGTCCATGCAAACACCTGAGAAATGGACACTTATCCATATGTGGCCACCTCAACTACTGTCTTAAGGGGAAGAAATTTAAATACTGGAACTGTGGCATATGAACCCATCACTGGGCAGGCCTCGAAAGAGCACAGTACAGCCATTGCTATGCAACAGGCAAATAAACAAACACCTGTTTCTACGCAAAGTTGAGGTACTTTTGGACTATAACAGTGGAAACAGTGTTTTCTATGTGGTTCATGCCAAAATGTTATAAGCAAGCCAATCGAGTTTCGGAGTCAGTTGTCAGCACTTCAGTTGAGTGATGTACATGCAGTACACAGCTGGAGACAGAGTTAAGCTGAAACTGGTGTGAAATTGCTGCCAGCCTGGGATCCAGCTGGCTGAGTTGTCAGTTGACAGAGCATTCCCCACAGGCGGCCATGACGAGGACCTGAGCATAAGTTGAAGAATCTCCCTCGGCAGAAGCCATTTCCAGGGGACGGCTAGTGGAGACTGTAATAGACTGAAGACACTAGTCTGTGTGTATCAGTGATCTGTAAAGCGTAACTCTGAGTGCTGTATACAAGTCGACAATAAATCCAATTAATTAATCCATACCCCGTCTATAGTCACACCTCGAACACATGACATTATATAAATGTTTATTCTGCCTTAAGATGCAAACAGTTCTTGGCAAACCAGTCCACATCACGTGTCATCACAGAAACAAATATTTATAATTAGACCTCATCTTCAGCACTGCTTCAAAGCTTACACAGGGTGCATCAATGAATCGGGCAATTTAAAAACATTATGAACAGTAAACTATTGCATTTATCTGGTATCAACACATATGAATACATTGTAAAAATAAAAGCATTTGGTTTCTCTCAATTCACTCACTGAAAACAGAAGTCTATTTCCAAAAATTAACATCCGATAGATGACCACAATTCCGCTGTAGTCGCTCATTACTCTTTGCACCATCTCTATGGGAATTCGTTCCGACTTCTTCCCGTAGTCGCTCATTACTCTTTGCACCATCTCTATGGGAATTCGTTCCGACTTCTTCCCGAAGTCGATGTTCAACTCCTGAACTGTGTGGGGTGCTGGAGCTTTGAAAACTTGGGATTTCAGATACCCCCAGAGAAAAAATCACATGTGGAAAGATCAGGTGGCCCAGCTGGCCATATGATGTCCCCATATCTCCAGATATGGATTCTATGGGGATAAACATGGAGATCTTCGTGCAAAATTGGTTGAACGCTGGCTTCAGACAGCTCAAATGATGTAGCATGGCAATGCACAGACTGGCGTGGACTTCGTTTAATGCGTTCTCTCATTGCTTCTACATTCTCGGGTGTACGTACTGTTTTTACGCTACCACCTTCTTCTTTAGTGTAGAGCCAGTAGCCTCAAAGTTTTGAACCCAGGTCTTGATGGCATGGGCAGATGATACAGCAAAATTGCAAAATTCACACTGAGCCATCATGAAACTGTCACCATTTTTGTAAAATGCTTTCACATCAAAAGCACGTTGTGCTCCAGTCCACAGCTCCATTGCAACGAAACACTTTGAAGTAGGCTGCTGGGTGGCAGTAGTGGCATCCTCCCAACTCCAACCAATCCAGGAGAGAGAGAGTGAGAGAGAAAGAGACCCACCCCAGACAAATTGCCCAATTCACTGATGCACCCTGTACATGAAAACTGATGACACAATGGGGGGATAAATGATACCATTCTAAGCAGAATGTTACTATATTTGATCCTGTTTTCGCAGTGTTGCGTTTCAGTCAACAGTCAATACTACTGCAGGCTGTTATGCTTCAAAAGATTTTGCGTAGTTGTTTCAGAATAGGTGTGGAATGGGAGGAAAGGACAAGGGGGTGGAGAATTAGGTTGGTTCCAAATGGGTTTGGGTATTGTGTGTTAGGTATTTGAACTGCCCTTTATTAAAATGTCAAATATTGAGTTATAAGTTTCAATTAATGCATCATTCAGCTGCAATCGTTGCTTAATTGTCTTATATATATTTTGTTTAACATCTGTCCCTTTCTTTGAGCCTGTAGTATTTCCATGGTTTGATCCGTGGTATCGTAGTTGTGTGTAGTATTTAATGTGTGATGGACGAATATTGAACTTCACTCATTTGTTCATATTTCTCTGATGTGTTGGTTATATCCCATCCTATACGTTATGTACCATCTGTCCTATATATGAAGGGGGGGGCAATTTTTATATTTACTTTGACACATTCCACTCAGACTATATATGTTGGTGCTATATCTTTATTTTATGACGCTTTTGTGCTTCTGATCTTATATACTACCTTCATATTAGCACAGTGGACCCTAGCATGCACATACAATCGGTCTACATCAACGATTTGCACCATCCTCAAGAACAAGGACAAGATTAAGGAGATAGATGCTTCAAATGGAGTGACAAAAATATCTACGCAACGGTTACATATTCTTGATGATGTTGAAAGGTTGCTCCTCATATGGATAAACGAAAAGCAATTGCAAGGAGATACTATTAACGAGAACATCATCTGTGAGAAGGCGAAAGTGATTTTCGCCGACCTCGTTAAGACGCCAGGATCATCAACAGCCGAAGCAGCAGCATTCACTGCGTTGTAAGGCACAGTGAGGCAGCAAGCTACGACACAAAGGCTGCAGAGAACTTCATCGGCGACTTCAAGAAGCTCGTAGATTCTGAGGGTTACCTGCCGCAACAGGTTTTTAATTGTGATGAGACGGGTCTCTTCTGGAAATAGATGCTGAAGCGAACCCATATAACAGCAGAGGATAATGCATTGCCCAGCCATACGCCAATGAAAGACTGTCTCACGCTGCTATTTTGTGCCAATGCAAGTGGCTATTTGAAAATTAAACCACTGCTTGTTCACCATGCAGAAACTCCACAAGCCTTCAAGAAGTGTAGTCCTGAAGAGCAGGCTAAATGTGATGTGGAGGTCCAACAACAAGCCTTGGGTGACACGTGACCTTTTTACTGATTGGATCAATGAAGTGTTTGGTCCTTCTGTGAAAAAATATTTGCTTGAGATGAATCTGCCACTCCATGTCTTGCTTCTTATGGACAACGCTCTTGCCCATCCTCCAGACCTACAAGATGACCTGCTTGAAGAATTTAAATTCATCAAGATCCAGTTTCTGCCTCCCAACACCACTCCGTTTCTCCAGCCTATGGACCATCAGGTTATTTCTAACTTTAAGAAGCTGTACACTAAAGCACTCTTCAAGCGTTGTTTAGAGGTGATGGAAGGGACCAATCTCACTCTCAGAGAGTTTTGGAAATATCACTTCCACATCGTTGCCTGCCTCAAGATGATCGAAAAGGCATGGGAAGAAACCCTCACTTCTGCTTGGAAGAAGCTTTGGCCGCAGAGTGTTTTCGAATGTGACTTTGAGGGGTTTCAGATAGTACGTGTGGAGCCTGCAGTCAACGAGATTATGTCTTTAGCCAAGATCATGGGGCTGGAGGTGGATAACAATGATATCGATGAGCCCGTGGAAGAGCACAGCCAAGAGCTGACCACCAAAAAGCTTATGGAGTTGCATTATGTTTCACAGCAAGAAGTTGTGGAGGAGAGTTTGTCAGAAGAGGAAGAGGTAACAGCAAAGCAAGAATCTTCTGGCGCAATAAGAGAATGTTGAAAGCATGGGAAACTGTTGCATCGTACACTGAGAAGCATCACCCTAAAAAGGCAATGGCTATGCGCACTACAAATTTATTTAATGATAATGCTGTGTCGAATTTTCACCGAATATTGAAGCGCAGGCAAAAACCTATGTCTCTAGACATCTTTCTAGTAAAAAAAGAATTAGATATGTATCATATATAATAAACTAATTTTTTCGATTTTTTTTTTTGCAAATCGAATTCGCATTCCAGGTTGGTTCATTCCACACAGAAGAAAAGATAATGATTCACACTCCTTAACGATGTACATATAATTTTCTTTGAATAAACGTTACACATAAAATTTTTTGAGTATTCTTTTCGGCATGGAACACATTATTGTATTTTACATTAATTTATATAGGAACAACTGTTTCGCTTAACGAGTAAGATTCTGAAATGAATTATGCTCGTTAAGCAAGGTTCCACTGTATCAGGAAATAATTTGGCACTGGTTCTTACACAAGTGCCGAAATACATAAAAATGACCCATTTGTCTTTCCATATTGTATGTGAACCATTAATGGATGATTTTTTTGTTTTTTTAACCAGTGGAGGGGTACTCGTTTCTTTCAGCCATAATTTTTCATTCTCGGTTTTTATTTCATTTGGTGAGACCATACGTTTTCATCCAGTTAAACAGGTAACTGATGGCTGACTTTTGTGCTCATACAGGTAACATGACATATTCTGTAATATGAGGGCTGCAGTGGTGGATTTTCTGTAAATCCCAAATCTTAATTAATTTTGGTTTTAAATCAATTCAATAAAAACAACTGTGTTGATGGATGAACATGTAAGCGGTTTTAATATCTTGTTAGCTTGTACTATAAATGAAAAATAAACTTTCAAACAGAGAAGAAACTGTTAACACCCCAACAGGAACATTTATAAGTAGATTTAAAGGGCTCTGACGATGGTGGATGACAGAATTACTGGGCTTTTTCCATTGCCAAGAATTCTAGGCAATAGAGAACAAGATGTTTCAGAAACTGGATCACTCTGTGATAAGGGGTCCAAATGCGGTGTCTTCCTTTCTCACCTGAAGACCGAAACAGATCCAGGTTCCGAAACATAGTGTCTTCTATTACCTAGAATTCCAAACAATGGAAAAAGTCCAAAAGCCCAGTAATTATGTTAGGAACATTTATGCAGATAAGCAGACTAGAATTCTCGCAGGTTATGCCAGTGTCTTCCCAATACACAATATACTAAATATTTCACAGCAGAGCATCAAAATTAGTTAAGATGTGTAAGATTTGAGGCTTTCACGGCAGTGACTATGAAGTAAGCAGTCTTCTGGGATTTGTATATGTGGTGTTAACACCACATATACATGGTGCCAAATCCCAGAAGACTGCTTTCTTCATAGTTAAGATGTGACAGAGATTTTGCTTTAGGTGGGAATGTAAAATGGATAGTATTTCAATTTCAGTCTACTGCCAACATCCATGAAGATTTAACCACTTACAACGGAATCTACATGTCTGTATAACAGCTAGTCAGGGCTGTCATTAAGCAGAACTTGTATTAAAATGTAAGTAGTGTATTTGGTTTTATCAACATTTAACACCAAATTATTCAGAAATGAGCTTAAATAGCAAACATTAAATAATGTACACACAAACACAGTATCATATGAATTCAAAACAAATATGTATATATTACCTTTATTTTATCTTCATCAGGAGCCTTGGCTACAGTACCAGAACCAGAACCTTGACCTGCCCTACTCTTCTGACGGTAAGTCTTCATCACTCCACAGAGATATGCGGATTTATTAGACACATGCTCCAAGTTTGAGTCCAGGAATTGTGTAAGGACATTCAACGCTCCTTCGACAGGAAACTCTTTTAGAGCATCTAAAGCACGCTCATCCAGATCAGCATGGGCAAGTTTACCTGAAACAAACACAAATTAAAAACCATACCTTAACCTTTTGACGTGGTCATTTAAATTCCGCAGCCGCGGCTCCTGCGGTAATATATTCAGCCGGCCATTTAAATTTTGCTCGAAAATTATTTATTCATCATTGTTCTTAAATTCTATGAGATAGGAACATGAAACTTTCACTAAAATGATCTTAAAAGGTGGTTTTATAACCTTACCTTATAATATGAACCCCCTTTATATCTTCAATGGAAGCATGTTATTTAGTATTTGAGCAGAGAATGGTACGCCTTGAAGGATGAAACTTTCACTAAAATGATCTTAAAAGTTGGTTTTATAACCTTGCCTTATAATATGAGCACCCGGTATCTCGGCTATGTAAGCAGGTGACGCCTTGAAGCATTAGTCTAAACACAGAGCTGGCTCTCGAAACGACCACCAAGGTCAGTACGATAAAATGGCGTCAACTGGAGCGATAATGAGTACTTTTCCCTCCCCCACACACATCCGTATCGTCTCAGGGGGTGACCACAGTGTTCTGCCTTAAATTGTGGCGTATTTCTAAGAAATGGGTGCTATGTACTGTGCGAAAGCAATCGATTTTACGAGAATAACATTTTGGACAACCCTCTTCTAAGAATTCCAATGGAATGTGTTTGTGTGGCCAGCTCAGGGCAATATGATATTATATACAACAGCACACATCACCTCTCTGGTGTTTATTACTTCACAAGCAAAGCAAATACGCCATTGAGTGACGAAACCGCTACAAGAAGCAACACGAATTTGCTGCAAGACAGGCATATGTAACGATGACTTATCTCAGCTAAACTCGTTGGCTTAGTATACTCTGTTCTTGTGACAACAGGCCAGCGAAAAATCTAACAATCTACAGCAAAACCATCAATTATTATGGGCGTTATAACATAGGTGTGCAGCTGGACGAAACATACACGCCGAACCCCCCCAGACGATTTAAATCCCTGACGAAACATACACGACGAACCACGGCAACGGGTTAAATGATTAACACATTCAGCATTAATATACATATTAAGTTAATATAACTGGCCCCTTTTCCATTTCATTGACTAAATAAATTAAGCCAAAAAATAGAAAAACAACTCTGGGGCAAGTTCAATTTTCCAGCATGTACGCAGCTATGTAAGAGTAACACAGCATCCAACCTATAAGAGACAGCACGATCTTTATCCTCCAAAATAATACCTTCTCTCTCTCCCTCTGCCAATAGTTATGACAGTTAAGTAAAAATCATGGATAGATTTCTACAGGTTATGGCCTTGCCTTTTTAGCAATAAATGTAATATGAAAGTACTTGTAACAAACAACCTACCAATAACTCAAAATATTAATGTATGCATACATGATGCTACCAAATGTTCTCTGCATAGTATTTAACCCAATGAAAACTGCATTTACCCCTTACAATTGAAGTCCCATGTTACGGTGACAGACTGAGCATTTCATTTAAGTCAGCCTTTTCTTATGCACTGACAATCACATTTTCCCCTTGGCACTACAGCCCCAGTGGGCCTAGGCCTACCTACATGAATTTCTCCGTTCAGACTATCACATTATCCAAAGCATATTCATTGGGTTTAACATATTTTTTTAATTTCCACACAATTACCCTCATTCCTGAATTCAAATTTGGAAACAAGGCATTGTGCATACTTTCAATTCTCTGCAAGTGTATCAGCAATATTCTCCTGTACAGTGTTTTTCTTTTCATCATCTAACACCTTTAAAACTTGTGTTACCTTCTTTTTTAAAAGGTGATTTGTCCATGTTTATTTCAGTGAGCACCGTTCCATGTAAACGCATGGGGGAGTTACCAAAATCTTTTACTGCTGTTGCTGTGAGGCAAATATCTTCACAATTTTTCTTCTCACATTGCACCATCAAGAGACACTATCTACTAGACTGCAAAACCATTTGAAGAAACACAAATTGTCTGATAAACGTGCTTAAGAATGTTAACAAAGAAAATCTGTTATGGTAGAAGACGGTGAAAAATGGCAGGCAGCAACAAGAAATAAAATAAAATTTGTGCAACATTCAGCACAACAAATTAGGGACTTAAGCTCAACACTGCATGAGAATTTGTCATGATAACTTGTCACTTCTGAACAAAATGCAACTGAGTCAACCACTATTAAAAGGTGGAATGGTTAAGATGTTACATTTTTTGCAATAGAGTATTGAATGGTACTAGAAGAAAATCTAGGTGTCTTGGATATCATGTGGTTCTCTGATCTAGCACGCATCCACTTGGATAGGCACATTAACCTGTAACGACAAATGCTATACAGTGGAACCTCACATAACGAGCAGCTCTCACGAGTAATTTGCATAACGAGCAAAACAAATTGTTAAAAAAAAAAAGACTCGCTTAACAAGCGACGTTTCGCATAATGAATGACGAGAGGGGAAATCACGGATTGTGCGTGCTACATCAGTCTGTGCTTAGCACTCATTCCGCTAGCATCTTAGTGGAACTTGTGATCACACATTTTTCCAAACTTGTGTTCAGACATATTATTTGTGATTCTTTTTGTGCAAAGTTTAATAACCCTTGCAAAAAGTCCTTGAAAAAAAAACCGCAAAAAGACAGCCATAAGATGATAAAAATAACCGTAGAAATGAAACGTAAAATCATTGAAAAGCGAGAACGAGGTGTGAGCGTGGCTGATCTAGCATGCACATACAATCGGTCTACATCAACGATCTGCATGATTTGGAGTTGCATTGTGTTTCACAGCAAGAAGCTGTGGAGGAGAGTTTGTCAGAGGAGGAGGTAACAGCAAAGTAACAATCTTCTGGTGCAATAAGAGAAATGCTGAAAGCATGAGAAACTGTTGCATTGTACATTGAGAAGCATCACCCTAATAAGGCAGTGGCTATGAGCGCAACAAATTTATTTAATGATAATGCTGTGTCGCATTTTCACCAAATTTTGAAGGGTCGGCAAAAACAAAAGTCTCTAGACAGCTTTCTAGTAAAAAAGAATTAGATATGTATCATAAATAATAAACTATTTCGATTTTTTTTTCTGCAAATCGAATTCAAATTCCAGGTTGGTTCATTCTGCATAGAAGAAAAGATGATGATGATTCACGCTCCTTAACGATGTATATATAATTTTCTTTGAATAAACGTTATGCATAAATCTTTTTGAGTATTTTTTTCAGCACGGAACACATTATTGTATTTTACATTAATTTATATGGGAAAAATTGTTTCGCTTAACGAGCGTTTTGCATTACGCGTAAGATTCTGGAACGAATTATGCTCGTTAAGCGAGGTTCCACTGTGTGTGTGTGTGTGTGTGTGTGTATATATATCAGCAAGTAACGACCACTACAGCCAAATGTTATATTTATATAAGCCAGGACACGTGGTCATTTTGGGAGTGCTGACAGTTTGATCTTCAGTTAACCAATGCAAGGTCATGTCAGTGGTTCATTTGAGGCTCTCAACAATGAAATCATTTATCATGGTAATGACGGTTTATGACCTGGTCAGCCAATTAGAGCCCAGCTCTGTTTTGAGAAATGGGTAAATATTCATCTGTGCTCACAGATTCAAGAGCTTTCAAGGAAGTGTGACGTATTTAAGGATTGGTTTTCAGTAGTGAATCATCAGTTAGGAAGTCAGTGTTGGATTGTCATATATTCATTTATCAGTCAGAAAGTCAGTGTCAGACTCTTATATTTCCTTATGTATCATTTTTATTTTGTGTCTTGGAAGAGGTATAAACCCACTGAGCCAGTATTATTTTGTGAGTAAAAGGCATCTTCGTCACTGTGACTTTCGGAATCAGTGTCGGACTGGCACTCTTTTCAACTAGTATTATAATTACTTTGCATCACTAGTTTGCGAGTATTACTAACAGGTGAGAGTGTCACTTTGTCAATCAACATAATTTATTCAATTTAGCTGGAAACCCCTTTCCCAAAAGATGATTCTTCAATCGAACGAGGCAAATATCAAGATCAGTGGCATTTCTCGGGGGAGATCAAGTTCATCTGGGGCCCAACTGAGTCGACTGGAGTTGAAACATTCACAACACTGGCCAACCAAAAGGAAACAAAGACATCCTGTGTGGTGGACTGCTTCAAGAAGTGGCATGCGCCATCAAGTGTGGGAGAATTGTAAACTGTGAAGTGACGCAGTTCAAACTCACGTACAGTCTGAACAAAATATTATAGTATAGTGAGATTATATTTACAAAATCACGTCTCAAGGTTGAAGAAAAAACTACAGGTAAGTCCCTTGGAATTTCATAACATGTTGTGACGCGTTACCTTACGTCCATCACCATCACAACCGCTACAACTGGAACGGACACTTCCACGACAACAAATGCACGGAAATTGCAGAGTTCCTGCAGCAACAAATCGTAGCAACGAATTGTTGTTGAGCAACAACAGATGAGACGAAACACATTACCAGTGTATTCTATAAGAAGCGTTCCCATAACAATGGACTGTCTGAACAGCGGCAAGGGAACCATGTCTGGCATCCAGTCCGCATAACCCCTATATAAACAGAGCCAGGGACTTCGTACAGAGTATAAAGAACAAGACACTCTTGGGATAGCCGCCGCCAGAGACAGTTGAGATCCAACCCCAGCCAAGGATAGTTGAGACATCAAAATGAGTATTGGGCCAGAAGTCAGGTGATACTGCAAGTGATAATAATTGTAAGGTGTGTGTGTGTGTGTCCAACAAAGATTCGCTAAATCCAAGACCCACATGAAGTCATTTGTCGCATGACAATATATAACATTATATTTTGCATTTCATGACAAAATAATCAGTTAATTTTCATTTGTAAAAACTGCTCTTTTGTGTATATGTAAAAAGTAGTATTTTCTTCCAAGTTGTTTTTAGTTCGTATTTCTATGTTGCATAGAATGGAAAATATGTAGTTTTTTTTTTTCTGAAAAGGTCTGCAATGTTAGACTTAGGGCCATTTAAATTCTAGA